TGCCGGAAACCGTTACGTTGTGGTGGTTATGGACTATTTCAGCAAATGGTCAGAGATATATGAAGAAGCCAGAACAGTCGTAGGAGTATTTGTGAACAACTGAGTGTTATGGTATACTATTGGAGTTACACTCTGACCAGGACAGAAATTTTGAATCCGCGGGGTCCAAGGAAGTATGTGATTTATACGAAGTAAGAAAAACAAGAAAAATCCGCTGCATCCTCAACCAGAAGGTATCGTAGAATGATTCAATCATGCACTGGTATATTTAAAAAAAGTGGTTAGTACCCATTAGAAGGATCAACAGATGTTCTCAATTCCACCTCCACAAATTATCTTTGCAACAGAACTCAACCCAGCAAAAGTAAAACGAAGTACTTCCGAAAGAATAACATTTGTCACCACTTCAAAAGCAGCACTAAGTGATTTTTTTACATTCTGTGGAAGTGATGTTTAATGACTTCCGAAGAAGCAAAAAAATTATATTTTTTTTAACGCTTAAGATATTTTTTTTTGATTTTTATGAGCTAAAAAAATTTGTTTTTGGGATTTTGTATTTAAATGTTTATCCCTTATTAATGTTAATACTATTTAAGTCACATTAATTGTATTCTATAATACTACAATTTCACTTGCAAATAAGTTCAAAAAAATAACATACAAGTTACTTCTTCAAATTGACTTCTTTGGAAGTTCGTAAGTTGCCTGGGGATTTAGAATTTGGTATAAAGCCTTCTTCAACAAGTAAGGATGTTGAAATCTTTTCCCAAGAACGGGACTACCCTTATGAACTTTATGAATTCGTATAAAATGAGCAATCTATAGTTATAAACTCCTCATCAAAAAAAAAAGAACTTCCAAAAGCCCAAAAATTAATTTTTTTTATCCCACAAAAATTTAAGAACAAAAAATATATCTTCAGTATTGAAAAAATTTAATTATTATATTTGACAAAGTAATAAAATGTTTTTTCTATGTTTACTATAAATTATTTCAACCGTCCGTCCTTTGCTGGGTAGGTTTTCAAAACTATACCTTAAAGCCGTTTGTGTCGAGGTGTAGACGAAAAACAACATCATTCGCTTCAGCCTCTTCTAAACATTTGGATCTGCATAATAACTGTGGTAAATATTCTTTGATCCATCTCTTCCGCAGACGATATTTTAAATGTTGAGCTATATGCCACTGTTTGCGTAAACACATTTCTTAATTTGTAGTATTCTGAGTTTCGGTTGTGTTAAGGCATACTAGAAGGAAATTGTTCAGCATTAATGGTTCCTCCTTTTTTTTATTTTTTTTATTTCTTCATTTATTATAACCGAGCCTTTTAGGCCATATATAGTTATAAAAAGCTACTACAACAATAATTATAATACATTTTTAGAGAAAGTGTTAAACATATAATAAAAAATAATATAAAAAATAATAAAAATAAAATAATAATAAACAATTACTGAAGATATTGGAATTTCAGTGAGTGATCAGGAATTTATAATATTTTCTGCTTCGATCAGAATACTTCTTAATGTCTCAACTCTTTTAAAGTTTTCTGTAACAGTCGTTAACAATACGTATTAAGCGTTCCCAACAACCTCAAGAACTTGATTGGTATTTGCCAATCAGTTTCATCATGCTTCAGGAAAGAGGGCTTGACTATCCATTTACTTTCTGTATTGAACTTTGGCGGGTATATTGTTCGTGTTCCAGTGTCTGCTACATTTATTGAGTAGGAACCCTGTTCCACTGAACAGGCTTTGTATTTTATAGGATTTCTTCAACACTATGACTTACATAAGCTTTGACATGACGATCCTTTGAATAAATCCATTCCAAAACTGTTTGGGAATAGGACCAGTAGTGACATAACGATATTTTGAACTCGTGGTTTGGCATAACTGACTTAGACAATCTAACTCCTAAAACCGAAGCTTGTAATTCTAGACGAGGTATGCTCAATATCCTTTTTATAGCATAATGTACCTTTCCAATAACAAAAGAGATATCTACATCATCATAGACTATTCGCAGATAACATATGGCAGCAAAAGCTTCTTGACTAGCATCAACAAATACATGAAGATGGATGTTATCACTTTGTAGTAGGTTTACCTACAAGCAGCGGGGAATTTCAAAACGTTTTACATCTTTAAATGCGGACTTCCAATTTTAATGAAGTTCTTCATGAATAGGATCGTCCCAATTGTTATTTGTTTTCCAAGTCTTTTGCACCAAAGTTTACGATTACAACAAAAAATCATCTACCCAAAGGATCAAATATCGACATGGTTATTTCTCTTTTTGTTGGTACTCGGGATTGGTCTTAAACCTCAGTTGGTAAACTATGAAATTTATTATGGAAACCTAAGATTTTATCAACGGTTACTTGCTTTTCCATTTTGACTGGAGTAACATCGTCTGATGAATTAATTAATATTAAGAAGAGATTCAACTCGTATATTGTTGGAAGTGAAACCTCTTAATTCGAATCCACCTTGAGAGTGTATGTAAACCACTTCATGACACACTTTTATTGTCTCTTTTTCGCTGTTGAAACTACATACGAAGTCGTCTACATAATGTTTTTCTATAATAGCAGAACTGGCTTCAGGAAACTGTTCCGCGAATTGAGTTGCGTTTAAATTTTTTATATATTCTGCACAACTGGGTGAACAAATTGCGCCAAATGACATCTACTCCATTTGATTAATTGATTTTTCATCATCACCATTTCTCGAAAAAATTTGTGTGTGTTGATCTTTCGGTATTATTTTTATTTGAGAAAACATTTCTCTTATATCAGGTGCTCACTTAATGGCTTAGCTTGTTCAGGACATCTTAATATTCAGAATTAAGTGATACATCACCAACTTTAGCAGCTGCGTCAAAAACAATACCAAGTTTATCAGTTTTGTGTGGATTTATTACTCCAAAATGTGGTAAATACCAGATATGAACAGAGTTATCATTTATTTCTTCGGCAGTCAACTTTCGGGCATAAACTTTCTCTAGGTATTTATTGATTTCTTTTATATATCTTTCAGCCTATTGGGGATCATGCCTCATTTTTCGCTTTATAGTAAAGAACTTTTTCAAAACTTGGTTGCAAAACTGGTGGACAATTCTTCCACAAAAGACCAATTTCCAATCTATTACCAATATTTTTCGTTAATTTATGTATGTTCACCTGAAAGCAGCAATTGAGCACATATTACCAAAATTCTCGTTTTCGATGAATTCTTCAAAAATATTGTGGATTTTATTATCATTAGTACACATTACTGTTGACGTAAAATATCTAACATGCTTTGTTTGACCATATACTACCCAACCAAGTTTAGTTTCAACACCAATTTGATTTAAGTTTTTGAATTCTTTGATATCAGAATTCACACCAAGATGAGAGTTATCTAATACAAGAAGTATAACTGGAGAAGCATTCCAATAGTTCTCAATCAATAGGCAACAAATCTAACTCAGTATATTCTGATTTTTTGAAAGTTTGAGTTGGCAGGTTTAAATTTGGAACAGTATGGACATTCTTTAATAGATGCATATTCCTGTATGTTTTTATCTCATTGTAAAGCATGAAGCATTTTGTGATGATTTTTTCGACAACCTTCAATACCACAAGACTTCTTATTGGTACATACGGAAGTTCCATGGCCTTTATGCAGCCAGCTAAAGCAAAGTTTTAATTGCTTCACCTTTCCCCAGCGTGTTGACAATGACATGTTTTCAAATTCGTTACGTTTGGTAATACTATGTTCATTGTTGCAAATTTTATCAATAACCATAATGGGCTTTGGCTGCACAATTTGCCATGATGTACTTGGCATAAGGCCAATATCTTCCAATTTTTAGGGTATATTGAAGATTCTAAAAATGGTACTGTAATCCACTCTACTATGTAGACCTACCAACTTCATTAGGTCTCACGATTAGTGTATTGATTTTTTGTAATTTTGTCACACCGTGTTATTAGACAAACAGAAAAAATAGTATTTGTATGTGAAAACCATTATTTGACTTACAATAAAACAGCTAAGCGGTGGTGTGGAGAGAGTGTGGCGAACTGGCAGACGGAAGATTCCAAGTTCAACCCCTGCCTGTGTCGACTTTTTATTTATAAATTACAGTGGGACCTCGATTTTCCGTGATGGTCGGGACCGGAACCATTCTGTATAATCGATTTTCCCGGTTAATTGAGTACCAATTTTGGCTAGTTTTTTATTTTATTTTGCCTGTATTAATTAATAAATGAATAGTACATATTTATATAAAATCTAAATAATTCAAGGATTTTATATTCATACATGTTTCAAAAATATTAAGAATAATAATTTTGTCAGAATACAGTAAACAGTGGATAAGGATTTTGTGTTATGTAATTTCTAAAAATAATCATGTAATGTTGTTTGTCTCTTATTTTTCAATTTTATATTTACGTTTCAAGGGAATTCCCCTTTTCGATTTGTTCTAATTGTGCATGGTCGTTAAAAAATAACAGAATTTTCCCAGCAAAAAATGGTGCTTCCTCGGAAGCAGGTTTGTAAGGCAGAGAGCACTTGTATACTGCTACCACTTCGCATGAAAGATTACATGATTTTTATATTGGATTCCTCGCGTAAAGGCTCTGCATAAGGAATCCAAAATAAGCATATTTCACAGCTTTTAAATTAACCTGATTTCATCGAATTAAATATGTACAAATAATTGTGCATTTCGGAATTGATTATATCAGGTGCTCGCGGAAGCACGATCCAGTTGCCTTTTACACAGCATCCACTATGTTGGTAATTCATGCCTTAAAAAAGGGATACTATCACGCCTTCTTTAATATGTATTAAAGAAGGCATTCTAGTAATGCTTTATTAAGCCATTTCCTCTACCAACACCCCCACCACCCCAAAAAAAGAACTGATAAAAGTTTATGTATAGAAATAATTTTATTTTTATCAACATGTAATTTTTATGAATAAGAACTAAAAAAGAGATCATTTACAAAACATATTATATTGATTAATTTCACACTTATAACTAAATATTATTGATTATTCATGTTTTATAAAGGATGAAATAAAATATAAGGAATAATAAAAATTTAGGTGTATTAATAAATATTAGTGTAGTTTTATTACCATAGCTTCCATATTTTCATCAGAAATTTCTAGTTCTATATCGTCCATTTCCGATTTAGATTTAAGAGGAAATTTGTCCAAATATCTTGTGGCTACTGCAGTGGAGGTTAAATTTGATTTTATTAAGACATGCATTTCAGACAATAGATCTACAATTATTTTGTTTTGTGCACAAAATGTTTCTTTTAATTCCTTAATTTCTTTAGCCATGTCGCTGTTTACTAATTATGTTAAAATACATTTATAATTTAAGGGTTTTTTTTATAGTTTTACTTAACAAGTTTATACCTTTTTGAAGTTCTTCTATACTTTTTTGGAGTTTTTCCAATTTTGATGCAGTCTCAATGGTTGTTGATGGACTTGTTTTAGTAGAAGATTCCTTCACAGGTCTAGAGCGTCCCATTTTGTAAAAAAATATTCTAAAAATGCAAAATATCTAATTACTGTTTTTTATTTATTGTTATTTATTTATTTATTATTATTTATTAATAAAGCCCAAACAAATGTTTGGATGGACCAACTTAATATAATCATTAAGAGCAATGACAAAATGAAATAAGTTAATGGCTACTTTCATATGGCAAACATATTAATTTGCCGCGTATTTCTTGAAGTTTAAATGTTTCTTCTCTATATACATTTAAATTAACAACGAATATGCCAAGATCCTTCGATCGTATGGGTTCTGAAAACATATCTTCAGTGTTAATAAAAACATGGGCTTTAAACATATCATTTTCTAGAAAAGCTGTAATTTTGACAGGTGTATTATCAGAAATTAAGCAAAAACTATCTTGAAATTTTATATTAAAATACAAATTTTCTGATTTGTAAAATACAGTGGAAGTCCAATAGTACGTATACTCTTTATTACGAATATCCAATAATACGAATGGCAAAATTGTTGCATTGTCTACTCTATAGTACGAATAAAGTCACAATTTTTCTGTTCGATAGTACGAATAACGCATTTTTTATGGGAATTTTGGTTTTATTTACGTATGAATGAAGTTTTTATTATGTTTTTATTTTATTATTTCGGTATCATTCACCTTAAGCTCAGTAATTTTGAAGTTTTTTTGTATTTATTACAAGTGTTTTGTATTTTTAAAAATAATATACACACAATTTACTGCATGTATATTTACAAATCAACAATTATTTAGTGTTATTAATTTATTTTATTGGAAATTTGATGACCCAAGAGAAGAAATTAAATTGGATGATAACGCCAATGAGGAATTTTATTAGTTCCCGACAATAACTCTGCTGAGAACAATATTGAGCCTCAAAAGCGCTGTTATTGAAAAAGCCGTAAGAATCATTTTACAATGTAATAAACATCGATGTTAAATGATGGATTTTTTAATAAGTAAAATGATATTTACATATATACATATATATGTATGAACTGTTAATTTTGAAAGTAGTGTGACTCCACATTCCAAACAATGGGTTTAAGGATAACTATTCTAATTTTTAAGAGAAAATTATAAATTAGAGAATTGTGTAATCTGAATATTTTAATTAATCTGAACATTTTATTATATTTTGTTCCGTTATGTAATTTTTCATGAGAAATAAAACAAAAATAAATAAAATCCAATATTTTATGTGTATTATTTGAATTTAAAAATACAAAATGTGTTGTTCAATAATACGAATTATTCGGTATTACGAAAGGTTCTGACACTATATAATTCGTACTAGTGGACGTCCACTGTATTACGTTTCCCATTTTACCACGTTTGATTCCGTTTTCGACCGTATTTTTTGCCAATGGTATTTTGGAAAAAACATTAAACATTTGTTGCTCAATGTGTTGAGACTTTTTAATTGATCTTTTTAAAGAGGTCATAGCATTTTCAAATGGATATGCTGTTATATTTGAAAGATTTCCATATTCTAGTGCAACCTCTTTTAGGTGTAGAAGATTATGCACATTATGGGTAATGCTTGTTTCTCCATAATAATTTGGAAATTGTTCCACAAATTGTTTTAGAATTTCATGAGCCTGATGTATTTCACTTTGTCTAATATTATTTCGAATTAAAATGCGATAAGCACACGATAAAAGCAAAAAGTGTTTGAAAAAGTTTTCACTTGTAAATTTTTTAATTACAATGAGCCCAGTATAAAGTACAAATTGTCGAAATTCGACAGCTTTCCACTTTCTTATTTCTTCAAAAGAACGAGGCTTCCTAGCAAACCCGCGTGGTATAAATGGATATAGAGATATCATTAATGATGACATTGATTGTTTAGTTTGAGCTGATAGGCGTTCGTTTGTCTTAGATGTTAGCAGTCTTAAAAGCATTCTTTTCATTACTCCTAAATCTATCAAATGCATGATATCAATGGGAAATTGAGTTATCATTTTTATGTCTAGACTTTCTAGCGACATTTGCATATTTAAAAATTTTGGTTGGTGAAAATCTTGATCACGTCTGTATTTAAAATCGGCATCAGTACGTAATTTACCCACAAATTTACTAAAAGTTGTCACATTTGAGATACTTATTCCTTTCTGGTCACATTTACTGCAACCATTTAAGGCATTGTGACCTCTTATCCCACACACATAAGAGCGGGCTGGCGTGTCACAAACAAATGCACGGATAATTATGTACAATTTACGTTCTTCGACTAGAAACCCATTTTCTTTTATATCTTTAATTTCATAAACAAAGTCATGTAAGTATAAATCAATATCTAATGGTTTTTTTTTTCGCCAACATAACTTCCTATCAAAAAAACGTTTACCATTGGTAAATTTACAATGCGGCCTAATATTGGCCATAAACCCCTATCCTTGCTTTTAAATACGGGCAGACCGTCGATTCCAATGTCCAAAACTAATTTATTGACATTTTCGTCTTTTATAACATCAATTATTTTATTCAGATTATTTTTAATCCCTATATGAAAATAGGTACCGGGAGCTACAGTCCGTTTAGAAACAGGCTGTTGTTTTCCAGATAAACTGATAACACTTAAAGGTATTTCAGAATGCCTTTTATTTAATATTTTTAATAAAGATGTAGTGCATTCATATGAGGGTCTGTATTTTAAATACCATTCTTTTAATTCATCCTTTAATTCCTTTACATCCGTATCACTATTATCCCTAATTTCTTGCAGAGACAAGTCTTCAATATTTGAACGTGATTCGAACTTATTACCATCAGTTCTTCCCATGGAAGATGCTCTAAGTAGAGCTAATGCATTTTTGTTTTTCTCTTTTTTTATTAATTTGTTGATTTGACTTCGACCTACCATAATTTTTTTTTTAATAAATTTTTAAATTTTTTTTTTTTAAATTTTTATACATAAACTCACTTTTATATGAAAGTGTGCAAATGCGTATGTATGTTTTTAAACCGTTATACTTTTTTATTTTAACACTATCACTTTTATGCGCTTACTCACTTGATTTAAAGAACGACACATCAGAACTAAATGTAATTTTAATAAATATTGCATCATCTTAATCTTCGTTTTAGTTGAATTATCCGTCGTGTATAATCGAGAAATCATTATTATAATTTTTGCCTTACTTTAGTGCTTCTGCGCAGCAGTGTGATCTACGGAAAAGCACTATTTTTACAATTATTTACAATATTTATTTATTTCAGGTACCAAAAAATTATTACGCCTTCTGTTAGTGCTTACATGAAGCAGTAAAAACAAATACTAAAAAAGAGAATTACGTAGAAAATATTTGCAAATTATTTCTCTCTCAACACAGTTCTTATAAAATGTTCTCTAATATGTTTTTTATTCTATTGTGGATTTTACCGTTAGAAATATGTATGTAATATTGTTGTTGTTTTATGTATTCTGAAAAAGTTTCTAAATTTATAAAAACTGATATTTATATGTAATACCATACATATGTAATAAATTTTTAGCACAATTAAATTTGAGTTTTATATAACTTGCTACTTTAATTTAACAATTCTTTAAAATTCATTAATAGTGTAAATTTTATAAATTGGTATACCTATTTATAATTAAAAAAGAAATTAGAAGAAAAATAATTAATTGTTATGGAAATGTTTTATAAATATCAATATTAGAAAATATCAAAACTGAATTACAGATTTTAAAGCTGACGAGAAGCAATAAAATCTTACAGATCCAGTGATTGTCTAACAAGAAGCTCTGATTTTTTCTAAGTAATTCACCACCTACACGAATAGCTGAATGTATGCCTTCCAAAATCATTTTTGTAAGGCAATAATTTTAGGATGCAATAAATGTAGCAGTAGAAGATGCAGTAATCATATTTATTGCTTCCAAATCCAGAATATTTTTTGCTGGGTTGCTTATAATCACTGATAATAGAGGTAATCACTGTTAAACGATGCAGAAAAATATAAATCAATCCAAAATAAAATTAAGTCGATGCAAAAAAATTTATTTTAACCATCCCGGATAATTGACGTTACCGGCAGTGTTGCCAACTTAGTGCTTTTAGCACTATTTGCGGTGCCTTTTGGTGTGCCAAACGCGGAAAATTTTGCTCATGGTGCCTTTTTTCAAAAAGGCACTACAGTGGTGCTTTCTAATTTTATGACAGTGCATTTAGTGCTTTTTATATTTTATATTGATTTTGTCACTCCGTTTGTAACACATCGAAATATTGGTCGTAGACCCACAAAAGTATATATATTTTGGGTCCTTATTAAATTCTAAGCCGATCTAACCATGTCCATCCGTCTGTTCTTCTGTCCGTCCGTCTGTCTGTTGAAAGCACGATAGGGTTAGATCGGAAAGAGCAAGCGAGTTAAATTTTTCCACAAATATTTCTTATAGGTAAGGTTTGTTTGGTATGGCAAATGGGCAATATGGGTCCGCAATTTCGCATATCCCCCATACAAGTGACCCCCCGAAAAACAGCTTTAACAGTCACAACTGTTTTAAACATACGAGTATAGCGATAAAATTTGGCATAAATAAGTTTTATATGCGTCAAAATCTCTGTACCAAATTTTATGGGAATCGGTCCAAAATTGACCCTACCCCCCATACGAGTATAGCGATGAAATTCAACATAAGTAAGTTTTATATAAGCCAAAATCTCTACTAAATTTTATAGAAATAGGTCTATAATTGAGCCTACCCCCCATATAAGGTCTCCTTCAGAAAATGATTTAAATGGTCATTACTGACTTAAAAATACGAGTATAGCGATGAAATTCGGCATAAATAAGTTTTATATAAGGCAAAATGTCTCTACCAAATTTTATGGGAATTGGTCCATAACTGACCTTACCCCCAAATAAGGTCTCCCTATGAGTGCAGTGTTGAAATTCAACATAAGTAACTTTTATATGCATCAAAATTTCTCTACCAAATGACATTAATACTCATTACCGACTTAAAAATATTCGACATAAATATGTTTTATATAAGCCAAAATCTCTCTAGCAAATTTTACGGCAATCGGTCCATAATTGACCCTACCCCCACATATGGTCACCTTCAAAAATTGATTTTAACGCTCTTTACTGACTTAAAAATACGAGTATAGCGGAGAAATTCGAAATAAACAACTTTTATACAAACGTAATCTTCCTACCGAATTTAATTCGGATTTTTCGGTAACCTACCCTACCCCTTATTAAGGTCCCCTTAAAAATATGAGTACAGCGATGAAAATTGACAAAAAATAAGTTTTATACAATTTTTTTACACAATTGAACCTATCCCTAATATATAAAGCCTCCATGATTACTTCATCGTTGTACTCGCAATAAAAAGATTTTTATTATAATTCTTTATTCCGAATTTTATGACGATATAACTGACCAACAAAATCTATGTACAAAATTTTATGGGTATCGATATATAATTGTCCCAACCCCATATAAGTTCCCCTTTAGATAATAACTTTTACGCTTATGTCTGAATTAAAAATTGGAGATCAGCAATGAAATTCGAAACGAATAAGTGTTATACGAAGTCTTTCTACCAAATTTTACGACAAACAGTTCATAATTGACACTACCTCTGATATATATATATATATATATATATTTTGTTTTTAAAAATGAATATTTTGTTAATTCGAAGATCACGTACATAATTGAATTAAGCATTATCTCCCTGATGTTTACAGAGAAGCATTCCTTTTACGTCATAAGATTTGATGGTGGGTATATAAGATTCGGCACAGCCGAATATAACACTCTTACTTGTTAAAATATTTCAAAATAATTGTGAATTTCAGGAGGTAATTTATTTAATTAATATTAGGTAGGTAGGTAGGTAGGTTGATAGGAGGATGTATACTACATCAAATCCGAAGAAATACACCTAGGCCACTATCGGGCCTGTTGTGCGCTCCAATTCAAGAAAAAAAAAAAAAAATTGTTCACTGAATGTATTATTTTTCCATGTTCAGAAACTCAGTTTCCTGGACGTAATTCCTAAGAATCTTCCAATCGGTGTTGGTTAAGAATGTTATTTCTGGAATAACATCACTTCCAAGATACTTGGATCTAACTTCGACGAATGCCTGACAATGGCAAAGAAAGTGCTCCAGAGTTTCACTGTCCTCTCCACATGCTCTACATTCGTCTGAATTCGCACGTCCAATTTTGTATAGATGTGCTCGTAATCCTGTGTGTCCACTGAGAATACGTACCATCATACTAACCTCAGACTTTCTCATTTTGAGAAGATTTCTCGTCTTGCTCTCATCAGGGTCACCCCATAGAATCTTTGTGGTTCTACCCACCGTTTCATTATTCCAAGAGGCCTTATGGGATTCTCTCATCCATATTTTTAATTCAGCTTTTGTTGCGTCGAATGGTTTTGCGTTTGTCAGGTTAACTACATCGAGCTCCCTTCCCTTTAAAGCTATTACATTCGCCCTTTCGTTGCCGACTACTCCCGAGTGGCCTGGTACCCATATGATGTGAACCTTACCTCTGGGAGAGTATTCAGTTAAAGCTTTCTTACAATCCAATACGGTCTTAGATTTAATTCTATCACCTGATATCGCACAAATTGCCTTCTGGCTGTCGGTAAATATATTAAGCCCTGTGGGCGCCATATTTATTCTAATCCAATTTACACATTCCGTTATTGCTCGTACTTCTGCCTGGAAGCTTGTGTTATGATTAGGTAAACGGTGGTATATTTCTGTTTCTGGGTCTTCAATATAGAACCCCAGACCCACTTTGTCCCCTAATTTAGAGCCATCCGTGTAGCAACGGATTCCTACTGGTATTTGCTCTAATGTTCCGCTTGACCAAGACATTCTATCTGGGATTAGCGTTTCAAAGTTTCCGACATATTCAGTGTCTGGTATGCGATCAGGCACGTCCGATGAATGTGTATAACCTTCCAATGTGTCCAGTATACATTGATGACGTGTCCTATAACCGTTTTTGGCCAGTTCGCCTAAAGTAAAGAGCCGTTCGGCTGTAAGCGCCGCCTCATATCTTATATATGTTTCAATGGGTGGAATATCTAGCAACGTTTCCAGAGCCTTGGTTGAAGTAGTACACATGGCACCACTTATACCCAAGCAGCATGTACGCTGAACTCCCTGTAGTAGTTTGATATTACACTTTTTGTCCAAAGCAGTCCACCAGATTATTGAAGCATAAGCTAGAATTGGTCTAATTACACTTTTATAAAGCCAATTTGTCATAGTAGGACTAAGACCCCATTTCATGCCTATGGTTCTCCTACATATCGTCCAGCACCGATGTGCCTTGTTGATCCTATCCTCTATGTGGTGTCTCCATTTTAATTTCCGGTCAAGTATTACACCTAAGTACTTAACTTTGTCTGTCACCGGTATCTTCTTGCCCAAGAAGCAAGGTTCAGTATATGTAGAAATTTTTGTCTTTCTTGTGAAAAGACAGATTTCCGTCTTCGCCGGGTTAACATTGAGGCCTCTCGGTTGAGCCCAGCTCAAGGCCGTATTCAGAGCCTCCTCAGCTCTTCTACACAAGTAATTTGGATCCTTTCCCTTTAAAAGTATTACGACATCGTCTGCATAGCAGACAGGTCTAAGTCCTTTCTCGGTTAGGGTCCTTAGGAGGCTATTAATCGTGGTGACCCAGAGTAAAGGTGACAAAATGCCACCCTGTGGTATACCGCGAAATACCTTTTTCCTGATAGTTATATCGTACATCTCGCAGCTTATCCATCTGTTCCTTAGCATGTAGTTGATCCAGTTACGGAGCACCCGGTCAACATAAAACTGGTCTAGGGATTGGATAAGGGTATCAGTGTGCACGTTATTGAAAGCGCCTTCGATGTCAATGCATACTGCCAGTGTATACAGTTTGCTATCGAAAGATTCACTTATGTAGTGGACAACTTCATTTAAAGCGGTTTCCACCGATCGTCCCTTTACATAAGCATGCTGCTTATATTTAAGGTCATTGTATGGTATGCTGCTTTTAACCATGCTATCGACTATCCGTTCCAAGGTTTTAAGTAGGAAGGACGTAAGACTTATCGGTCGATAGGACTTAGGTGTCGCATAGCTAGGTTTCCCTGGTTTGGGTATAAATATTACCCTTGCATCCTGCCATTTAACTGGGGTATATGCCAATTTTAAGCATGCAGTGAATATCTGTGACAGATGTACGGAAACCAGTCCCGCCTCCATCTGCAAAAGTGCCGGGAAAATTCCATCCGGCCCTGCAGCTTTATAGGGAGCAAAGCTCTTGATTGCCCCTTTAACCATGTCAGTTGTAATAACTATTTCCGTGTTACCCTCCCCTTCCTCCAATATCGGTTCATCTATGTTATTCGATATACCGGGTGGGAAATGAGAATCCATTAGGAGTTTCATTGTCTCCTCCGTATCCTCAAGCCTCCTGCCCGTGTCATCGATCATAGATTCCGGTTGGACATGAGTTTTGGATAGGAATTTTTTTATCTTCGATACGTCATTTACGCTATCTACCTGTTCACAGAAAAGTTTCCAGGAGTCTCGTTTGGCTTTTCGAACGATTTTCTTATATTCACCAAGTTTATTACGATACTCATCCCAGTATACTGCGGTCTTTTTACGCCGTGCCCGGTTAAATAGTTTGCGAAGAGTCTTCCCAAGGTTCCGGATCTCCCCAGTTACCCAGGGTTTTTCCTGGGCAGATCTCCGCTCTCGCAGAGGGCAGCTGTCCTCGAACGATTCAACCAGGGCACTTGTGAACGTTTCCACTTTGGCATCTATATCCTCTTTATTTCGACATTGAAAAGTGTCCTGACCTAAACGGTTCTTTAGTAAGGCCCCGAACATTGTCCAATTAGTTTTAGACTTATTCCGAAACTTTATCGGCTTTGGTGGTGGCCTTAGTATTTTGAATCTTATGTACCGATGATCAGAAAAGGAGTGCTCGTCCGAAACTCTCCAATCCTGAATTTCGTTTATAAGCTCTTCTGAACATATAGTTATATCTAATACTTCTTCTCTGATTCTATTGACGAAGGTAGCTTTATTACCTAAGTTCAATGTTATCAAGTCTTTAGTATTAAAGAAATCCATGAGGGCTTGTCCCCTGCGATTGGTGTTTGTACTACCCCAAGCTACATGATGCGAGTTGGCATCACAACCTATTACAATTATCTTATTTTTCCTTTGTGCCTCTTCAACCAGTTTCATCAGATCCGACGTTGGTGGTAGGGTCGGAGAATCGAAAGGCAGGTAAATAGATGCAAGGAATATGTTGCCTCGACCTTGCTTCAGCACCGTTGCATCCGATGTTGATAATCCTGTTGAGAGAAGAAAACATAAGTTCTTGTGACATAAGATACATGTTCTCGGGCGAGATCCTGTATCAGCGTAGAAAAGTTGGAAATTTACGTGATTTAATCCAGAAACCTTGTTGCGAATCGTCCAAGGTTCCTGGATTAAAGCTATATGTATTTTACCTGTGTTGATTTTAGCCATCAGAGCGTTGGTAGCTGTCTCGCTCCGATGGAGGTTTATTTGGATAACCTCAACTGTCTTCCAGCGAGTTGGTGGTCACCTCCTCGCTCTTTGGATTTGACTCCTCCGGATAGCCTGAAGTGGCTATTAATGCAGTGGGTACTGTTGATGGCACTGCGGTGTCCTTATCAGGCATAGGAATAGCAGTATTTTTAATAGACACATTCCCAATTCTGGAGAGCATTGCTGTTCTGTCTTCTGGCGGGTGAGTGATTTCCTCCTCGCTTTTAGGATTTGACTCCTCAACATTGCTAGTACTTGCTAATGATGCTTTGGGTACTGTCTTAGGTGTTTTAGTGTCCTTGTCGGGGCCGGTTTTGACAGCCCTTTCAATCGGCGCCTTCCCAATTTTGGAAAGGGCAACTACACTTTCTTCTGGCGAGTTAATGGTAAATTCCTCGATTTTAGGATTTGACTCCTCAACGTTATCAGTAGTGGATACTGTGGTCTTAGGTTTTTTAGTGTCCTTTTCGAGGCTTGTTGTAACAGCCCTTCCAATCGGCACCTTCCCAATTTTGAATATGACAGATTTAGAGGCGAAGTAAGCCCTACCTTTATTCTTGGCAAGACTAGCCATGGATTTCTGGTCGATACCTATTACAAATAAAGTTCCCTCAGGTTCTTCTTTCCTGTAAAAGACATCCCATTTTTCCACGGCCAGCTCAGCATTTTGACCTCCAAGAATTTCCAGTATACGTTCATTAGCCAGTTTACTGCCCCATCCTTTTATGTAGACAGTGGACTTTAGGAGCACCGGAAGCTCGCTCTTCTTTGCCAGTCCCAGCCTAGCGCCGTCCCAGGGAGGAGGGATACTTTCCACCAAGTTCTTTAGGGTGCTAACACATTGGTGAGATGCCAACCTCATCAACATCACGCCCATGCTGAACTCGCAGCTCTCGCTCTCTATTGGTTGTTTGCCCTTTGAAGCTATTGCATGGTCCACTATCTTATTGTTGACCAGGTCTTCTATTTTACTCTGTTGGTCTATTGGAATTTTGCCTGTCGGATTACCGGCATCGTAAACTGCATAGCAGAGATCGTCCCGGTGCCTACTTCTGGCAACTTTGGCGTAAGATGGCGGCTCTTTACCTTTTCCTCCGTCTAGCTTCTCCTTCCTCGTTTTTCGGGGCTTCTTTTGAGATTCCCTTACCTTCGAGGTTGATTTCGCCGACGTGTTCGTCTTCGGAATATCTGGCTTGGCGTTGTCATATTAAACATTTTCTCTATAATGTTAAGAAAACTGAGGGATCATTCTTTGATCTTTCTATTTGTACCACTTTTTGTTGTTTATTAGAATACGATCAGTTTAATAGTTTACACTAAGGACTAAATTTTTCTTAAAAACTGTTTTATATTTTTTTACACGGGTGCTCTAAAGTTTTTTTTATTTGTGTTAAGTTTTAAAAGCAAATATTCTTCAAAAACAAAAAACAAAATATTCAAAATACGTTAAAATAAGTTATGTTATTCACTATCAGTGAAATTAAAAATTTTTCCAGAACTCAAAAAACTTAAAAATAATATATATAGATTTTGCAAAAAAAATATATTTCATAAGTTTTGTACAATTTTACAATTTGGGTGTGGTTACATCGGTTCGCCAGTTGGTAGTGTGCCTGTCAGTTTGAATGTTAGTGCTTTTTTACCCATTTTCAGTTAGAAAATTACGCTTTTTTACCCCTTTTTAATTTTTTTGCGCGCGTTTTGCTTGACCAATGTTGGCAACACTGGTTACCGGATAAATAACTCAAACTTACAAAACAACTTAGGATGTTTTTGAGACATCACGAAGAATAATAAGTACTTCTTGTAGTAGAAAAGGAAGTAGTTTTTCCTTTGAATTCTACATACTTTTCTACTTATTTTGGAAGTTAAGTTTTTACTGGGTTTTTCTAGTTTAGAATCTTTCTTTCTCTCTAAGTCGATTAAGCTATGTCCATCTTTGTGTCCAAGTAAACATTGTGCGCATGTTACAGGTCACAATTTTCAAGATAATTTGATGAAATTTGGCACATACTCTTCTTTTGATCCAAATACGAAGTCTATTGTTTGAAATTTTTACTTCCCTCAACAGTGCCAATTTGGCGCTGAGGAATAATTGCTGTATTTACAATGTTTCTGAAAAAAAATAAAATAAAAAAATTGGTCCATTATTTTGCCTAGCCACCATAATGTTAAATATTGTACAATCTCTATAAAAATCGGAAAATCTTAGTTTTATATAGGTTTAGTTTTATGTATATAAGTTTATAGGACCTCATTTGACCCTAGCCCCCATACAAAGTCCCCTTTAGAAAATGACTTGAAGGTGGAAATTCCCCTTTAAACCCTACTATCACACTGAAATTCTGCATAAATAATTTTAATGTCATCGTAAATCGCTCTACCAAAATTTATACCGATAGGACCATATTTACCTTTGCCCCCATATAACCCCTCTTTCAGAAAATCATTTTTTGGTAACTTTTTTTATTAGAAAAATAATCCACATTATAAATATACTCACTGGTGTAGGGTATAATATGGTCGACCATGCCTAACTATACATTCTTACTTGTTAATTTTTGTTTAATTATTGATATTGTTTGATTTTTCTCTTTAATTTGATAAAAAGTGCTTAAAAACAAAAATAAAATTTCAAAATACTTAAGTATATATGTATGTATGTATGTATATATACATACATATGTAATTATTTTCACCTTTTTTATTTCACATCAATTTCGGTTTTTTACAATCTTCTGAACAACATTTTTTTCCTTCAGTTTTAAGGTTTTAGTCATTGAACTCTTTGTCTCTATTTCCAATATAATGGGAAGTGGTTTACGTTTCAGAATATCAAGAACGGGTAAAATATGTTTCCAAAGGTCAGAGGCCACTAGTATTACTCCAATGTTAGCACGATTGTAGAGTGAAATAAAGAAATTTTGAACGTCATTTACGTATGTACCTAAATAAATAATAAATGTTAAAATATTTTATATGCATTCAAAATGTGAAATATTTAAATAATGAATGAAATTTAATATAAATAAATTCTATCGACATTCACATTCGACACAGCTCTTATTGTATTATGCTACATAGAAAAAATAGCAAGTAAGAGTCCCATATTCGCCTGTGCCGAATCTTATATACTCTTCACCATGATGTGTTAAATAGAATGGCCAGTACAAAAAATTATTACAAACAAGTAAGAAAGTATAGTCGGGCGTGGCCGACCATATGATACCCTACACCAGTTATGAATATTAAATGTGATTTATTTTTCATAATAAAACTTTTATCATCAATATTCCCTTGTTCCGATACATTTAAGCAATTTATTGATGAAAAACTAATTTTCTGAAAGAGGCTTTATATGGGGGCTAGGGGCAAATATGGACCAAGCCCGATAAAATTTTGCGAATATATTTATATTTACATAATATTTTATTGTGGTGAATTTCATCGGGATATTTGTGTTTATAAGTTAATTTGGGACATTCAAGTAATTTTCTGAAGGGGACTTTGTATGGGAGCTAGGGTCAAATGGGGCCCGATCTTTATGAAATTTGGCAGGGTTATCAAGACTTCTATAAAACTTAGTTGTGCCATAATTTATCGATATATCTGTATATTTAACATAATTATGAGCTCAGAAGCCCTTTTCGGGGGGTTCTGTTCTATGGGGGCTAGGTGAAATAATGGACCGATTTTAACCATTTTCAATAGGCTTCGTCCTTGGGTCAAATAAAACGTGCGTGCCAAATTTCATCCAATTATCTTGAAAATTGCGACCTGTAGCTTGCGCACAAGGTTTACATGGACAGCCAGCCAGCCAGCCAGACGGACGGACGGACATAGCTTAATCGACTCAGAAAACGATTCTAAGCCGATTGGTATACTTTAAGGTGGGTCTAGGACGAATATTTTTGTATGTTACAAACATCAGCACAAATCCAATATACCCTCCCCACTAAAGTGGTGTAGGGTATAAAAATCAAAAAATACCAGTTGTAAAACGAAAAAGTATCAGAAAATCCCTTTTTATATATATTTTCGATTAATCTGGGTGTTTCATAACTGCATAAAAATCAAAGAATGTACCATTCATAGAACAAACAAGTTGAAAAAATCGTTTCGTCCAGATTTGTATTAACTTAAAAGTACCAAAAAGTCCCACTTTACATGTTCTCACTATAAATACAAAATTGTATGCTTCTTGGTTCAATATTATAGAAAATTCAAAAAGTACCTTTTGGAGAAAGAACAAGTAAGACTGTTATATTCGGCTGTGCCGAATCTTGTATACCCACCATTGAATCATTCCCGAAAAGGAATGCTTCCTTATAAATAAACTTTGATATTTAAGAATCGATGCTTTTGTTATTATAAAAACAATTTTCTCATTTATTACATCTATGTATAATTTAACCATCATACATGTATATCGATAGGATCATTATGGACTGATCCTCCTAAAATTTCGTAGAGAAATGGGGGATAGGGTCAATTATGGACCGATCCTTATAAAATTTTACAATGATATTAAGGATCCTATAAAATATGTTCATGCCAAATTTCATTGCTATAGATGCTTCTTTTGGACAGTTATGAGCGTTAAAGTCTTTTTCTGAAGAGTAGGGTCAATTATGAACCGATTTTTATAAGATTTTACAAAGCGATTTAGGTTTCTATAGAATAAGTTCATGTCGAATTTCATCGCTATAGATGCTTTTTTTGGGCAGTTATGAGCGCTAAAGTCATTTTCTGAAGGGGACCTTATATAGGGGGTAGGGTCAAATATAGACCGATCTTTATAAAATTTTACAAAGATGTTAAGGATCCTATAAAATATGTTTATGTCGAATTTCATCGTTATAGCTGCTTCTGTTAGTCAGTTATGAGCGTTAAAGTCATTTTCTGAAGGGGGCCTTATTTGGGGCGTAGGGTCAATTATGGACCGATTTTTATAATAGATGCTTTTTTAAGGCAGTTATGAGCGTTAAAGTAATTTTCTGAATGGGACCTTATATGGGGGGTAGGGTCAATTATGGACCGATCCTTATAAAATTTTACAAAGCGATTTAGTTTTCTATAGAATATGTTCATGTCGAATTTCATCGCTATAGATGCTTCTTTTAGACAGTTATGAGCGTTAAAGTCATTTTCTGAAGGAGACCTTATATGGGGGCTAGGCGAAATCGTGGGCCGATATCGCCCATTTTCAATACCAAACAAACTGCATCAATATAAAATGCCTATGCAAAATGTAATCCCGCTAGCTACTTCCATTTGGACTCTATCGTGTTTTCAGACAGACAGACGGACGGACATGGCTAGATCATCTTAGAATTTATTAAGGATCCATGGGTCTTAGATGAATATTTCGATGTGTTACAAACGGAATGACAACAAGTTAGAGTGCTATATTCGGCTAATCTTAAATACCCTCCACCAGCAAGTTTTTATTAAAACCCATTTATTATATAATTTTTAGATAACTTGACAAAATTTTTGTTTCCGTATTGAGGATACTAACATTTATGCATGTGTCGAACTAATTTTGATTAGGTCCATTTTAATAGAATGATTTATATATACACAGAACACAATCATGTCGAATTTTATCCGGTTATAATCATTTAATAACGAATTTAGTGATATTAAGTGATTTTCAGAAGTTAACCTTTTATGGGGGTTAAGACAACTTATGTACCGATCTGAAAAAAGATTCCTTAGAATGATTTATATATACAAAGTACACATTTATGTCGAATTTTATCCCGATAACTTTGATTATCAATGTGCATTTAAGTAATTTTCGGAAATGGTCCTTATATGGGAGTTGTGATCAATTAAGGACCGATAAGGAAAAAATTTCGTATAATGATTTATATAAAAAAAATCGTGTCGAATTTTACTCCAATAGATTTAAAATTAATGAAATATGTGCGTTTAGGTGATTTTCGGAAGTGGACTTTATATAGGAGGTATGACCAATTACGGGCCTATCCGGTAATATATATGTACACAAAACATATTGTGTCGAATTTTATCAAAATGTCTTTATTTGATAATGAAATATGTGCGTTTAAGTGATTTTTTGAAGTGAACCTTATGTAGGAGCTATTTCGAAATATGGACCGATTTGGTAGAATGATTTATATGCTCACAAAATATATTCAGGTCGTACTTTATCCCGATAGCTTTATTATTCAAAGAAATATATGCGTCTAAGTGATTTTCGTAAGTGGACCTTATACGGGAGCCTATCCGGAAAAAATTTCGTACACTCTCATAAATTTTTGTTTAAATTTACTCTATTTATTGTAGGTAACCAGACTCCTACTATAATAAGTGTAAAAATACATATCGAAAAATATTTAAAATTTTTAAACAAATTGTATTATTTTTACAAAATAATACAAAATTTGTATTTTTACTTAACTACGTGTTTAAAAATGTTGAGCAACATTCCAATTATGACTACATTTAAACATTTTATGTGTAAAAATACTAATGTAGAAAGTGGAAATGCATTTAAAGTGTTTAAAACTGCAATTGGAATATGGGTATATTTGTGTGTTTTTTCTATTATTTTCCAAAATATTTAAAAACAATAACTTGTGATTTAAAAAGATGTTTTATTGAATAATGATTTACAATAAACAAATAAACCAGAACTTAAGACTTTCATGACTTGATGTTAATTATTTATTTCACAGAATTCCTGATTACAAAAAGAAAGGAAAGATCTTGACTAACAGCTTTTTTGAAGTTGCTGTAAAATGTAATTGTGTCATATTATGACCCATTACCATTAAAAAAACATCTTATTCTTGAGATATGTCTGTTTGTATGAATCTTGAGATATAGTACATAGGTTGAACAATTTTGTTGGATATTGTATTCCATGATTTTTTGATTCTGTACACATTCACTTTGAACTTACATACATATGTATATATAGTATACATTGTACTTATACGCATGTACATGTTATTTAAATTATTTTTTCTTGCATTTTCCATTTGTTTTTGATAAAATTTAATGATTTTGTTTATTGCCTTACTTGAAATTTTTATTTTATTATAATTATAATAAAATTTTGACAATTTTGTTTCTACTTCGTTTGAAGGAAAATTACACACTTTGTGTTTAAAATAGAAATTCACCCAAAAAATGTGTAATTTTAAAGTAGAAGTGTTTATTGTATTAGAAACATGTTTACAAATAAGCAAAATACTATATTTTGTATGTATTTTTCATGATCAAAAACGTAATTAGTTCTTGTAAACATTTTGTGCTTTAAGTTACACTTTTTTAGTAATTTTCCATAAAAATTTACATGTTTTGTAATAGTAATTTTTTAGAGTGTAGAGTAATTCATACATATAAAGACAAAACATTTTTGTGTCGAATTTTATCAAGATAACTTTATTTGACAATGAAATATGTACGTTTAAGTGAATTTCGGAAGTGGGCCTTATATGGGAGCTATGACCAATAATGAACCGATCCGGGAAAAAAATGGTTGAATGATTTATATGTACACAAAACATTTTCAAGTCGAATTTTATCCCTATTGCTTTAGAATTCAAAGAAATATATGCGTTTAAGTAATTTTCGGAAGTGGACCTTATATGGGAGCTATGACCAATAATGGACCGATCCGTATTTGGAAGTTATGACCAATTATGGGCCCATCCGTAAAAAGTTGGTAGAGTGATTCATATTTAGGCAAAACATATTTGTGTCAAATTTTATCAAGATAGCTTTATTTGACAATGAAATATGTGCTCTTAAGTGATTTGCGAAAGTGGTCCTTATATGGGAGCTATGACCAATAGTGGAGTGATCCGTAAAAAATTTAGTAGAATGATTTGTATGTATACAAAACATAATCAAGTTGAATTTTATCCCTATAGCTTTAGATTTTCGAAAGTGGACCTTATATGGGAGCTA